CACTTTTCTTGATGGAACGGACAGCTTGAAGTAAATTCAAATTTCTTAGGTCCCGATTCTGTGGGATCATTGCCTGAAAACGCTTCTGAAGCTTGTCGAGACTTTGCAGTAGCAGAAGCATAGTTCAGCATTGACCTATATCACATGTTTACACTGTCCCAGGGCCCCAAGCCCATCGTCACAGCGAGTCACACTGGTATGTACCGGCGAGCGCATTGCCACAAAGCCTCTGACGACGACAGAAATGTCATATTGCGTCGCTGCAGAATGTAAAAGACTTGGCCCCCTGATGAACCCGATCAAGCTTGTCTAAGCCTGCTTCTACTACGTACGTCATCTGCTCAGTCCCTCAATTAATGCCAGCCATCGACCACAGCGCATGACTTGAGGATCGGTCAGCCGCGTATCAAGCGGCTTGCAAGTGCATTGTCTGGAATCTGCCCATTATTGGCGCTCCCCGAATGGTTCTGACCCATGCCAAAGCCGTCGATGGGCAATATGAGCACATCCCCGCACAATGTCGGTCTTTCCAAGTATGAAAAACTCATGATGTCCGTCAAATCTGAGTTCATAGATTGCAAGTAGTCAAATATAACTTTTGTCCACACTGCAGAACCGGTGATGTACGAAATATCGGAGCTGCTAGGCCTGTCTTTTGCCTCGTCGACTCCGTTTTGGACCATAGGACGCCTCATGGACGTGACCACCTGGGAAATCATGCTGTGGATAACCGGATGCCCAGGTGCAGCAGCAATTGTCGAATGGGCAAACTGCAACGGGTAAGCTTTGTCCTTTTGTGGCGCATGGTCTTGCTGATCGTATATGATGCCGACAACTAAGCGGACATGACTCTGCAGATGGCCTGGAACCCATGTATCAATGGGCTTCAGGGCGACAGTGTCTAGATCGGTATAGATTCCGCCTCCAGCTTCCAGGAGGAGATATCGAAGCAGACTAGACCCCATACCAGCATTGCCCAGTTGCTCGTACGTGTGATAAACATCAGAGGTATTACCGTAGTGTGACTTCACAAAGCTGTCGCTGCTTTTGCCGTCGACCAGAGCGCTGTGGGGTCTCAGCTCGTGCTGTACAGAGACAAAGCCAACTTACTACGTATGTCCTCCGTTGAGGGCCAGCCACGTGCTGATGTGCTCCATCGTCGTCCATCTCACGGAGTCATTCATGCCGTTGGCTTTCGGTAAACTGATCTGCCAGATATGGGGCGGTATGGAGTGCTCTGACAGTGAAGGAGACCAAGAATATTGATGATGCTCGTTGGCGCATGAGATCGACGTTCTATAGAGCA